GTCTGATCTGGAATTACTACGCTTAGGAATGAGAAAAACTAGTCTGAGAACGACGCGTGTACATGTAATATTTCACTGCTTGATTTGTGACATTTTGTTGTATAAATAGCAAGCGCTACGGTTATTTTCGCTTGGTTGGACTCAGGTGAAAGAAATAAGCATTTCATGTATTCACATACGAGCGTATAGCAGTTAAATGCCTACATACAATAAATTAATCCTGATATGAAAAAAAAATCGATAATTGATTCATAACTTGTAATTTTGCCTATTTAGTTCTTATTGGAAGAAGAGAGGGGCACACAATAAAGGTCAGCCTTAGGACACAACCTGTTTCCAAATTTGCTAGACCAACGTAATTCTGACTGTGAAAATACAAGAAAAAAACGCACACTTTCAAGCAAAACAAAAATATTATTTAAGATATTGAGCTGAAACAATCAATTACATAAAATTATTATTTAGAACTAACTAAAATACATAACACGATGTGTATAGCTTCAAGTTTCTGATACGTTTAGAAATAAGTGACCTCGAACCTGGGCCCTACTTAACACTAACAAAGAAATATCGCTAATGCCGTCTCCTTGTTTCATTCGTACTACATGTATTACTGCAGAGGACTTTATAGCAGGGTAATTACGTACACGGTGAAGTAGGGTCTCCTTAAAATCGCACATTTTTTTCTTCTCGTCGAAATGTGAACTAGTACAGTAAGATACGAGAGTGAAGATCCCCAAAACTCTTAAACAGATGCAGATGCTGTTAAATCCGATGAAAGTAGTAATTCTCCCATTTTTGACGGTTGAACTGCGTTAAATAATTGGAGATGATGGCGCTTTACGAAATACTTATCTTATCATCAGGCCTCCAGAACGTCACCGAACTGGATGACGAATAAAAGTAATTTGGTTGTTACTGTAACTGCAGATTTCATCATGAAGTAATTTAAGTTCGAGATATTTAACGTCGTTTCTCATGCGTATGTAAGTTAGTTATTCCGTATTTCGTTTCTCCATCTGTTGCGGACGCCGGTCGATAAATGGCCTTCTCTTCAAGCGCTTCATTGTGAGCATGCGCGAACGTAAATAATAGTAGTTACTGCAAAATCATTTCATTTCACTATAATTTTGATATTTTTCATACTACCAATTTGTTTGAAATTAAAACGCGGTGAATATTGCTTCAATTTCGCGAGAGATAAATGCCACGGAAATGTGTAGCAGTGGAAATTTCTCTGGGGTTTCTAAATTCCTGAAAATAAAAAAATTAAATGGTTTACAGTACGAATTTTCATCAAGTGGCGTAACTGATTTGTACCACGATTGTCGTCACGGTGAATTTTGACCAATGAAATTGTCGACATGTAAATTCACGTGGTCAATTTGTTGAAGAACGCCCATTGGCAAATTCAAGACACGTGGTACAAAATGCATGAAAAAACAATGAAATTCGAATGCGCGTTTTATGAAATCCCTGATGGTATATGCTATGAGAACGTACGTTCTTGCAAAGACACTATAAAAGTGTCTTTCTAGTGTCTTTGCTTCTTGTACTAATATTGAAATTATGTTAATTTTCGACCAAAATTGTGCATACCAAGGCGACTTTTTTCCGGTTTTGTCTTTGTCAACTTTTCATGGTTATTTAGTAACTGCGTCTATTTTCGA